TCCCTCCCTTTTTTTTTTTTTTTTTTTTTTATAAATGGAAATTAAGATAATGTAGAGTGGTTGCAAAATATCGACGTTGTTGAGATTTGAAAATAATTGCGCTCTAGAAAATGTAGAAAATATGTAATATGTCGACTACCAATCCATTGAATATTACACAATATTTTTATAATATTTGAATCGGTTAAACGAATATTCTTTAAATATTTTATTAGCTTTGTCGTTAAGTTCATTGAAAAATTTAATTAAGTTCAATAAATTACTTCTATTTTCTAGAGTGCTTGGTTGAGCTTAAAAAGTGATATTTTAATACTTGTAATTTTACTACGTAATAGTAAAAAAAAAAAGGAAGTGATTATTATTATTTTTAAATAGAAATTTCTTTAACAATAAAATTTTTGTATGTTAGCCATACATGCTTGATAAAAAAAAAAGTAACTTATTCAAATATTTTTTAAAAATAAAAATTCCCTTAATAATTAAATTTTCGTGTGTTAGCTATGCATGTTCGATGTTTATCTCAAATGTCAATGCAAGGTCCCATAGACAACTACATATTAGAATAATAACAAATTTTCAATTTGTTTTCATTTTTAGAGATAGGTACAACTTATAAATATTCTCAAGATATAACAAAATATTCAACTTCATTAAAATTTTCGATATATGTAAATTATAAAAATCAATTCGCATATTCGGCTCTATTGATTTTTCATATGATTCTAGTGACAATGAAGTTTTTGATGATGTTAACATCATAACACGATTGAATAGATTGATTATTATATATGCATGCCTAATTTTATTGAAAAATAAACTAATTATTAGGATTAATTAATTTCATTGATTTGGTAAAAGAAAAAAAAATAAAAAGAAGAAGCGTGGGGTGGGTGTGAGTGGAGTAGGGGGTTCAGTTTGGAGTGTATGTAATCATGCATAGATTAATAGTTGGAGTGCATGCAAAGGCAACACTCTGCTTTTTAACAGAAATACAAACAGATGGCTTATTTTTAACCCAAAAAAGTACTTTTTTTTTTTCTCCTCCCGCTAAGTAAACCATTATTTTCTTTTTGATTACCGAAAGTACAAGTTTCTCAACACACATGGGTGTGTGTTTGTCTATTAGTGTATTGGACGTATAAATTTATAAGTTGTGTTAACTACACAGAGCCTGTACAGGGATTGTCACATGGGGATGGTCCACAGGGTTGTCATGTGACAACTTCTGTGCAAAAGGGTCTGCAGGGAGGCTTTTCCTAAATTTATATAAATGTTACTCAGGAATGTTGGTTAAGATTGAATATAATTGAATCAAAGACGTATTGATTGAGAATTCATGGGATCTCTTCGATGCTCGAGTTTTTGGTTGATTCCAGCATTTTTTTTTTAATATTTGGTCAACAAACTAAATGTAACGAACAGAAATTGCTTGACTGTCAAAATTGGTTCATTTCTAGCAAAGTTCGAGAATTATTGAAACAAATCGAGTAGGTTGGTTTTATTTTTCACTATGCGACCAATTCTCAAGAAATTGTTTTTTGATCTAATACATTCACGTTCGCATCATCCCTCTAACATATATTTACTCACATGTACGTCGAATTAGATACATGAAATTAGCAAATTCCATTTGTATGATAAACCCTAATATACAAGCACATATATTAATTCAATGTGAAATTGAGTGATACATCTTAATCAAGATTCACGCTTATTATCAATTAAAGAAATTGCAATTAAATTTACTACAATTTTTTTGATAAACACGTCATTGTCGCGTAGTGCACATTTTTCTTTTTGATGTAACCCATATATACTTTTTTCTTGATGTGACTGAAAAATTAATTAAATTTTTTGCTCTTCTAAATTACCACCACATTTAAATAAAAAATAATTATCATCCAAAAAAACATGCTTTTCTTTTATGCCTTGTTTCGTAGAAATTTTGAGAATTGATTTTTTGACCGTTAGGAAAAAAGTGAGAGCTACCTATGAGAGAAAAAATAAAAAATTATGACTGAAATGTTGAAATAACGATAAAAAAATCACTCCCAAACACCCCCTTAATCTGTTCCTATTTTTAGTAATTCCATTTATGCTCAAACTCATATTTCTACCAACAGTGGTATTAATCTTATACGAAACTCAACACTCTCTTATAACTTGTACATGGCGTTAACGCCATTGCAAGTTATACAAAAAGTGAAAACGTTGTTCTTTTTCGTACTGGCCATGTTTGGCCAAATGAAGAAGACGTAAAAGTTTTATAAAAATAACTTCAAATCTATCAAGGTCGAACAATCAAACTAGCTAGTAATTACCGTTTCGTTAGAAAAATATTGACTTGAATTGCTATCAAGATCGGAGAATATCCAATCTGATACCCATACAAACTCTAGACATTTGGACTTCTAGACATTTTTCAAAACTAGAACTAAAACAAATACGACAGTGACATGTTTATCCAAATTAATTAAATTTGAATGGATGGAGCCCTTGAAAACCTAACCCCCGAGTCCGTGACAAACGTCTAAATTCAAAATTTGAATGGAGATTAACAAATTAACAGGTAATTACCAATAAAAGATACCTTGTCACGCTCTACATATGCATGTAAAAGCACAGCCCAATTGTATGTACGTTGAATCTTTGCGAGTGAACATACGCGCTTAAATGCGCATGGTTAATGACATACAAAGACAAACATAAATTACAGACCGCAAAAGGATGGCCCGATATTGAGATTGACCAGAGAATTTTGCATTTCGTACAATGAAATTTTTTAAAATTTATTTCCGGTTCCAACTTGGACGTATAAGGTTATAATTTTGGAGTTTAACCAACTTGATCGATTTGCAATTGAACAAATTTTCAAGTTTTTTGATTAAATCAAACTATTACATAGACATTAGTTAGCCCCTGTTTGTCATCCGTTTCTTTTCATTCTTTTTCATTATTTTTTCTACGGTACTTATTTTCAAATACACATTTTTCATTAAAATAATATTACACGTAAATAAAAAACTCTTCCTTCTTTTTTAACCACACATTTCAACATCAATTACTATTCCATAATACATTCTTCCCAAATAATGGAAGACAAACACACCCTTAGTATAGTCTAATTTATTGTACGAAACCAACTATAAACATACATGTAAAAAGATAATAGACAAAAAATGAGTCCATTGGTTAGAGATGAAAGCGACTTAGGTTCATAACGGGGTATCCCCAAGCCATCCTGCTCTGCCTCACCTTAGATGGGACGGGGCAAGGGCTTGCCCTGTTTGTTTTTATCTTATATATTTACATTTTCAACATTTCGAATTATACTATTATTAGATAATTATCGTGTTATATTCCTAACACTTAGCTAAGCATGTAAATTAAGAACAACTATAGTTTCTCAAACTAATAATTTTTATTCTTCTTCACGGGTGGGTTTTTCAGGCCCCATTCGAGACGGGTCCGGCAGGGCGGGGTGGGGCCCGTTATTTGCCAATCTCTTCCATTGGTTCATCGGATGAAGTTCCGGATTAGTGAAACGTCGAAGGAAGTCCAAAATAGGGCCCATCTTGTTGAACCCAACGTCCATGAATGGGCCCACCTCTCACTTTCGAAACCAGTCAATTTTGGTGTTTAAAAGCAGCTGCAAAGCACCCAGTTTTTGCAAGTTTCTCTGCAGTTTTTATCACATTGAATCCATTACACACCTCTCTCTGGAGTTCACTCATTCATTATTCATATATTTGTTTCCTTCTCCTTCTCTATAGTAAAAAAAAAGTAGAGAATAAAGTGGAAGAGGGAAAGTAGAATCTACGTATGAGCTATTATTTTTTTGTGAAGTTACAATCTTGAAACTAAAGGGTGCATTATGGGTTTGAACATTGCAATTTTGCACGTGATAATGGTGTTTTTGAGTTCATGGGTTTCTTGTGGAACAGCCTCTGTTTCATATGACCATAAGGCCATTTCTGTTAATGGGCAAAGGAGGATTCTCATTTCTGGTTCCATTCACTATCCAAGAAGTACCCCTGAGGTATATTTACTACAAATGTACATTATTGTTTCTTTTGTTTTTCGTTTTCCTGGTAAATAAGGTGTCTTTATTCTCTATATTGTCGAGTCCCATTCAGTGTCGAGTCTGTACAATGAAGTGCAGTAACACAAGCCTTTTCATTTATTATTATTATTTTTTTTTGGGTATTTCAGATGTGGCCAGATCTTATTCAGAAGGCAAAAGATGGAGGTTTGGATGTGATACAGACTTATGTTTTCTGGAATGGGCATGAACCTGAACCTGGGAAAGTAAATAATTTTTGCCTCCATTTTTTTGAATATCTTCACTTTTTTTTCCTTTACACAGAGCAGTAAATTTTTCTTCAGGGGATAAAAATATATTTATTTATGTTTTTTGCAGTATTATTTTGGAGGAAGATATGATCTGGTGAAGTTTATAAAGTTGGTGCAGCAAGCAGGGCTTTATGTTCATCTCAGAGTTGGCCCTTATGCATGTGCTGAATGGAATTTTGGGTATTATTAGAGAATGAAAATGAAAGTTCTATGGAAATAAAAATTAGGAAAAAACCTTTTTTTTGGCATAATTTTGGTGTCTTGAGCATCTTTTGCTGTTTGAATTTCAGGGGTTTTCCTGTTTGGCTAAAGTATGTCCCAGGCATTAGTTTCAGGACTAACAATGGGCCTTTTAAGGTTAGGCAAATAATAATTTGGAATCCCTATCCTCGTCTATAAGGGCACGTTTGTATAGATGATTGGATAGTCATGCACAATATAGTCGACAAGTTTTTAACTTCTCTAACCCCACCATGAATGTGAATACTTTTCTAATTACGTGCTCATATTTTTGGTTATGAAATGCTATAATCACAGGCTGCTATGCAAAAATTCACAACCAAGATTGTGAATATGATGAAAGCTGAAAGATTGTATGAATCTCAGGGCGGTCCTATTATTCTATCCCAGGTATTCAAAATACTCCATTGTATTCTGTTTTCACACATTCCAAATTCCTATCCTAGTAAAAATGCTTTTATAATATTCTTGAGACATTGGTACTTACAAATAGGTAATAGGTTTCGAATTTAATAAAAAGTATACATGACAGATTGAAAATGAGTATGGACCTATGGAACGCGAACTTGGTGCACCTGGTCGAGCTTACACAAAATGGGCGGCCAAGATGGCTCTGGATCTTGGCACTGGTGTCCCATGGGTGATGTGCAAACAAGACGATGCTCCTGATCCAATTGTAAGTGTGATTGAATACTTGATATTATTCTTTTTGCACTCTGTCATCATTTGGTGTCCATTCTCAATGGTTAGCATACCATGTTAGGTAGCTAATAGCAGGTTCCCATGTAACACTATATCTTGTCCCCTTCTATATGAAGTTTACTCTGCTTTTTCTTTACTAAGTTATTGCAGGCCATTGAATCTTGCCTATGATGACGATGAACATATTTCCTTTATGATAATTTTCTCATAGTTCCATATCCCGCGTGCTTTTTTTCAAGTCTTCACTGTCAAAAGTTGGTACAGAAGTAATAAAACACTCTTTAACTCCGTCAAAATAGGATTCCATTATTGCAAAAGAATATATTTCAACAAAATGAGAAATTCTTGTGTCTATTAGAATTTATTTTATTTTTCTCTTGAAGTTAAATTCAACGAGCTGTGTTCATCATGCAGATTAACACGTGCAATGGTTTCTATTGCGACAACTTCTCTCCCAACAAGGCTTATAAACCAAAAATGTGGACTGAAGCATGGACTGGGTGGTAAACTTCCGAACTTGTCCTGTGCCATTTGTGGTTCTCTGTAACTGCACATCTTTAAAGGAGTCTATAAAAAAATTCTACTAATTTAACGGTTGATTATCCTGGTATATCTTTTCTTGTAGGTTCACTGAATTTGGAGGTCCAGTTCCTTACCGTCCGGCAGAAGATTTGGCATTTTCTGTTGCAAAATTCATACAGAAAGGTGGTTCTTTCATAAATTATTACATGGTAAATTGACTGTTAACTGAATTTCCTGACTTCTTAAGAAATTATTAATAATATTTCAGCTTAATTTCTTTCACCTCTTCTTGTTCAGTATCATGGAGGAACAAACTTCGGCAGGACTGCTGGTGGTCCATTTATTGCCACAAGCTATGACTATGATGCACCCCTTGATGAATACGGTAAGCAAACAAGATAAGTCATAAAGCTGTGTTTCTGCAAGGTTATTTATTCAATATGTAGCTCGCATGCTACATATATCACGTCTAGAAAATGTTCTATGAAGGTTTGAATTTGAATTCCATGAAGCAGGAATCTGAGTTAGATACAATTTAAGGCCTGTTAGCACTCACAACTTGCCACATAAAGTGGAAGTGTCATTTCTGTCTTTTGATAACGAATAAGAGGCAACCAAATGATTACATGTTTTATTATATTAAATATCAGTCAAAAACCTTAATAGTGTACCAGATTGTGATGGTAACACGTGGTTAAATAAATTGCAGTCAATTTCATTAGAAGTGGCATTCAGTTCTTGTAGAAAAATACAGGCAAAATGCTGTTAATTGAGATAAACACACACAGATAGTGATTTTCACTATTTAAATATTAGGACTCTAAAAAGTTCAATATCATAGCAAATATAACATTTCTATTACCAACATAGAGTAGAAAGTAGGCCCTATAAACCATTGAGTTTTTCCCGCACACAAGTCCTACTATAGTTTTAAGTCTTATTAAAGCATGCAAACCATTTAATTTCCATATAAATATTGTGTTTCAGCCGAAGTAATGCAATAACAAACTAAACTTTATCCGAATAAATTTGGGATCGGCTACATGAATCCTTTTTCACCACTGAATTTGGACATAACATTGTTAGATGTATTGAAAAATATAACAAATAAATAACGAAAATTCATTTTCCCGTATCCAGGACTATTGAGACAACCAAAGTGGGGTCATCTGAAAGATTTGCATAGAGCAATAAAGCTATGTGAGCCTGCACTGGTGTCGGGAGATCCTACTGTGACACCACTTGGAAACTATCAGGAGGTTAGATATAACTTATTTTCTGTTATACTGCTTATCATGTTCCAGAAATGCAGATGGACCTAAAGTCATATGTTCATTGTGCCGTACAGGCTCACGTTTTTAACTCCAAGTCGGGAGCTTGCGCTGCTTTTCTTGCGAACTACAACCAGCATTCTTTTGCAAAGGTGTCATTCAGGAATATGCATTATAACCTGCCTCCTTGGTCAATCAGCATCCTTCCTGATTGCAAGAACACTGTTTATAACACAGCAAGGGTAAGAGAAAGGCATTTCAATTTGATTTGCATGCATGTGTAGACATAGAGATTTGTGTAATGTGCTAAAACTGATATCAATATAAAATTTTGTGCAAAGATTGGTGCTCAAAGTGCACAGATGAAGATGACCCCTGTGAGTAGAGGGTTTTCTTGGCAGTCATACAATGAGCAGACAGCCTCGTACGAAGACAATTCATTTACAGCAGCTGGATTGTTGGAGCAGATTAATACCACCAGAGACATGACTGATTATTTGTGGTATTCAACAGAGTAAGTGCCTTTGTAACTTCTAGTGATCTTTGTGTATTAGCATTATAAACAACACGTATTTCCTTTTTGATTCATCAGTTTTTATCTTCTTATTCATTGGTTTTTTATTCAGTGTGAAGATTGACCCTCGTGAAGGATTTTTGAGAGGTGGGAAGTGGCCTGTTCTTACAGTCTATTCGGCAGGACATGCTCTGCATGTTTTCATTAACGGTCAATTATCAGGTGGGCAGCTTGATGTTTATGATTATTAATATCCAGAAGCAGAAATTTCATTTGGTGCAAATTAGCTAATCATAATCATTTAATTATGAAAGGTTCAACTGAATTTTTTGGCAGGAACTACCTATGGAAGTTTAGAAAACCCCAAATTAACTTTCAGTCAAGGTGTAAATCTGAGAGTTGGAGTCAACAAAATTTCTCTTCTGAGCATTTCTGTTGGTCTTCCGGTTTGCTCTCTCTCTCTCTCTCTGTGACACACACACACACCCACACTCACATTCACACAACCTTCTATGACTGCAAGCGTACTGTTTAATAAATCAGGAATTCCTTTTAAGAAAATCTGACTCTCATACTATATTGTTACTTGTGATACTAACTTGTAGAGTCTTCTCGTGCATGAACACAGAATGTTGGTCCGCATTTTGAAACGTGGAATGCTGGTGTTCTTGGTCCAGTTTCACTTAGTGGTCTTAACAAAGGTAAATGGGATTTGACATGGCAAAAATGGTCGTACAAGGTTAGTTTTTTGAAATTCAATATTGTGTCTCATAAATCTCATTGCTAATATCATTTCACTACTAATTGCCACTATTTTCTCAACCAGGTTGGTCTAAAGGGAGAGGCTCTGAGTCTTCATTCTCTCAGTGGAAGCACTTCCGTTGAATGGGTAGAAGGTTCCTCTATTTCTCAAAGGCAGCCATTAACATGGTACAAGGTGAGACTGTCATTCTTGTTTAGAGGATTCAGATACTCCTATGGAGATTGCAAATAGTATGTTGTCACGGGATGCAGTGACAGTAACATATTTTGAGCAAGAGTTAATTCAAAATAAGCATCTTCTCTTGAATAAAGAGGTCTCTTAAAAGTAATTTGTATTTTTTTAGCTTGGCCAAACATGCTAATTTTGGGATCTTGCTGAAACATGTTGATCAAGTTTATAATTGGTTGATTTCTTTGAAAGCTACTAAATCCCTGGCACGCTGCAAATTTTGTTTTGTTTTCCAGACTACTTTTAATGCTCCGGGTGGAAACGACCCTTTGGCTTTAGATATGAATACCATGAGTAAAGGTCAGGTCTGGATAAATGGTCAAAGCATTGGACGCTACTGGAATCAATACAAAGCATCTGGCAATTGCGGTGCCTGTAATTATGCTGGTTGGTTCAATGAGAAGAAATGCCTTAGCAAGTGTGGGGAAGCCTCTCAGAGATGGTAATATGGATATCTCCACTGTTTTATCTCTGATAAATAACAGTCGAAGACTAAATTAATTAAATTAATTTGTTCTCTCTCTAATAACTTAGTTCTTAGCAAAACATGTCAATGGTATGAGAAGAGGCAGAGGTCTTGAGTTCAAGTCTCGCTATCACACATTTCTGAAAATTGTGCAGGGTCAGACTTCAATAAAACAATGAAACAGGCCCAGCTAGTGAGGTGTCTGTTGAGGGCTGAATTTAAATATTATGTCCTCTCTCCAAGAACTCAAGGTTGTAGATGTAGTAGTTAAACATGATATTTGACTATATCAAGAATGATTATTTTTCAGGTATCACGTTCCTCGATCCTGGCTCCGTCCAACTGGAAACTTGTTGGTTATATTTGAAGAATGGGGCGGAAATCCCAACGGGATATTCTTGGCAAAAAGAGAATTAGCAAGCGTATGTGCAGATATATATGAATGGCAGCCAACATTAATGAATTGGCAAATGCAAGCATCAGGGAAAGTCAACAGACCATTGAGGCCTAAAGCTCATCTCTCGTGCGCTCCCGGTCAGAAGATCTCATCTATCAAATTTGCTAGCTTTGGAACTCCTCAAGGCATCTGTGGAAGCTTCCGAGAGGGAAGTTGTCATGCCCATCATTCTTATGATGTTTTTGAAAAGGTATTACGGACTTGCAAAATCACTGCTCATAGTATTTCAGATGCCTTTTCGTGTGGAATGTTAGGCATGAATAATTTGATAGCAGTACACTATTAAAAAGGAAAAAGAAGACAATCTTGTTTATTATACCGTCGAATATATATGGTCATCACTTTTTTTCTTTTATCTTGCAGTACTGCATTGGGCAACAATCTTGTGCTGTACCTGTAACCCCCGAGATCTTTGGAGGAGATCCATGTCCAAATGTCATGAAGAAACTTTCTGCCGAAGTCATTTGCGGCTAAAGACAAAAAATGGGTGCTAATGAATAAAAGTTTCTCGTGTTTATGTTTCTATTGGCTTTGCTGAGGTGAAGTTATACATATACGCAACACACCGCTATACAAAGCCCATATGGATTTTGAAGATGATTCGAAATAAGATTTTGTATACATATTAGTTATTGTGCTTCGGTGTTCAGCTGCAATTGTGAAACAAAAGCTCAGGTCGAGGGATTCAAATGCACGTTGAGACGACACTAATGGAGTCCATGCGCAAATGTCCCTAGTCTTAGAATATGCAAAAGACAGCAATTATTTCAGTTGCTGTATTCTTGTAAAACTTCCTTGCAATTTTACTACACTATCTTAAGTTGGATTTCTCTTATAATCTTGTAAGTTTTTGTTACATTTACACATCGGGTGTGTCCTGACATGATTGGTAAGATTTTCATAAAAATGAGTACTGGTTGAAGAACATAAAACAGAGACCAAAAATAGTGAATTTTTTTTTTTTTTTTTCCGGTATTGGTTTAGTACAATTTTTATTTTTATTAATTTAAAGGTCATACAAATGCGTGATTTATAATGGTGAAAATTGAGGGAATGAAAGATTTCCCACGGTGTTCAGTACCTAGATAACATCATGCGTATTCTTTTGAGAAGGAAGTACAATAGAGGGTATAAATATAACTGTTGACACGTTAAAAGTGTAGCCCAACTCGAATAGCCCAAAGAATGAAGTCCAATTGGGCAATTCAGGATAAAGGCCCAAATATGGTTATTAATGAATGCAATGGAAGTCCACGAATGCGGTAATACCATCGCCCAAACTTGCAAGAGGCCCAAGACCTGAGCGAATGAAGTACCTTGCAGTCGTCCAGAGTTATGACCCTATTCTCGCCCAAACTTTCGAATCGTCCAAGATCTTAGCAAACATAAGATATTATGGTTATCCAAAAGTGCAGTTATCGAAACAGTTATTGGATAATCTCATCACGTTCCACGATTCAGGGAGTTCAGTTGAAGACGGTTGAACGACAAAAAGTAGTGACAGCATTTAGAGACGGCAGTTCCACGAATAGTTGGCCACCATGAAGAAAGTGGGCAGTTATAAAGCAATTAAGCAGTTTTTAAACGGTTGATCACGAAGAGAGCATCAAGGGAATATAAAAGGAAGAAAAGACATAGAGCAAAGGATCCCTAATCAAACACTCTCAAACAGAGAATATGTTTAGATACGGCAGTTCCACGAATAGTTGGCCACCATGAAGAAAGTGGGCAGCTATAAAGCAATTAAGTAGTTTCTAAATGGTTGATCACAAAGAGAGTATCAAGGGAATATAAAAGGAAGAAAAGACATAGAGCAAAGGACCTCGAATCAAACACTCTCAAACAGAGAATATGTAATTTCAATTTCTTAATTTAGACTTAAAACATTTCTTTTCAGTACTCGTGTGCTTGCGCCCCTTGAAGACATTTCTATTTAAATTTCAATTGTAAAGTCATTGCCAATAAAACATCCCTTTTTGAGATTTTGTCTCAAGAGGTTTATCACTTACTCAATTGTCTGATCCCTTTTTAATTGTTAGCGACTACCCGCGCGAAACAATTTGGTACGTCCGGTGAGACATTGGTGTTTGGTGTTGAAAATACAAAAGGTGAAACAATATGCCTCAGAAATTCGATAAGGAAATAGCAAGTCAGGGAGGAGTCCAGTCTGTAATCGAGCGATATGAGGAGCAGCATAGCTCTCCACGAACAGATGGACAGGATCAGAGCAATCACAGTCGTTACGAACCAATGACAGAGTTGAGTCCTCGAACCATGCGTGCATTACTCGAAGAACTCACATAAGATGTCGTTGAACAGGTAAATCTACGAAACATTCATAATATGGGAAGATTTACCTAGAATGGGAATGCACATTATGACAACATGGCCAAACAACTGAATACTTTGAACGAAATAATGAATAAGTTAGTAGGCCAAATTTGTAAGTCAGTTGTGCCTCTTACAAACCACTTTCAAACTAGGACAATTGTGGGACATAATCCCCCAATCCTAAGTTTAAATCAAGGGGTAGAACTACCTTTTGATCCCTCTACTTCAAACCAGGGGGGTGGTGTAATTCCAAATTAGAATAATGGCATTGGTACATCTAACTTGGGGGGTAACCTAAATGTAAAAGATAACGTCCTAAATAATGGGTAGAATACCCCACGTGTTAATGATGGAATAAATTTTCAGGTTAATGGTAACAATGGCCCAAATCATGGTAACTTTGTTGCTAATCAAGGACCAAATATCAGGCCTCAAGCAAATCAACCGGTCAACCAACTTATAGGGATTCCATATGACCCCAATGTCATGTTGAGGAATTAGATTATGGAAATTGTACAGGACCAAATGGCTTTTGGAGTACGTCCTGTCATTAGGCCGACTTACACAAAGCCATATCCTGATTGGGTAGACCAAGCATATCCATGACCTAGAGGGTATAAAGTGCCAGAATTTTCACTGTTTACCGGTTTAGGAGAGGTGTCTACTCTAGAACACATAGGGCGATTCACACTACAAAGTGGTGACGTAATTGATTACTATAAAATGAGGCTGTTCCCTAGTTCATTAACAGAAGTAGCCTTCTCCTGGTTCATCAATTTGTCAGCAAACTCTATTCAAACATGGTAACAATTGGAGCAATTGTTCCACGCTCAGTTTTATAAGACTAAGTCTGAAGTTATTTTGGCCGATTCGGTGAATCTACGTCAAATGCAAAATGAATGGGCAAAAGGTTTCCTTCAAAGGTTCAAAACAGCAAGAAGTAAATGTTTTGTACCTTTACCCGAAAATGAGTTTGTCAAAATCGCTCAAGGTTGTCTAAACTTTGATCTGAAGAAGAAGTTCCAAGACAAAGAATTTCCTGATATTTTTCAATTGAGCGCGAACGTGATTAGGTATGAATGATTAATAAGAGAGGAAGAACAAATGCAAAATTCTAGCAAAGGGACTTATTATAGAGACCCAAATTTTGATGTTCGTACCATTAATGACGAGTATTACGATCAAACCGAAATGTGTTTGGCCGAATTAGTTAAAGGAGACACATACACTTGTCCTATAATGGCTAAGCCTAAACCGTCAGGCAATGATGAGCCTATAAAAGATGAAAACATAAAGGCTAGAACGTTCTCGTTCGATGTAACCAAAGTTGACCTTATATTTGATAAATTATATAAGGATAAGCAGATAAAGCTGAGCGATAAGCATAAATTGCCAAGCCCTAAACAAATTAAGGGTAAAAGAATTGTAAGTGACATAATGCGTGGTCACATTTGACTAATAACTGTTTAGTTTTTTGCCATGTGTTATAGGATGCCATTGAAAAATGACGAATTACGTTCGAGGAAGATGGCAGTGGATGAAAATCCTTTTCCACAGCCACTTGGAGTGAACATGGTGACGTCTGGTTTCAGAAGCAAGTTGCCAAAATTCAAGTTGGTTATAAATGATGGAGAAGAAGAAGCTGGACCACATCCTAGCGTCTTTGAACGTATCAAAGGGAAAGAGCCAAAAAAGACGAAGACGTCCTATGTGCAAGATGTAAAAAAGAAGTGAGTGCAAATGCAGAGAAACCAGGGATATGGCAGCATCACCATTGCCCTAATTTTTTTCCAATCGCTTAGCCTTGTAGAGGGCAGGGTACATCGTTCTATAAGGGACCGCCTTTTGAGAGGTAGTTCAGGCCAGTAAATAATGGGGGAACATTCAGACCGCAACCTCTCCAACCAAATATATGGCATTCGTTCCAGTATGAGGCTGGAAGGGCAATACCTTTCAACGAGATGACTAGAACCCAACAAAGGCGTTTTCAACGGAACTACGGGCGAATGATGAGGCGACAATAGGGAATGCTGCGTCCTAAGGCACCTAGATTATTCGAGGCAGCCAATTAGAATGTTCTCAAAGATAGTGAAGAGACTGATACAGGCGAATCTATGGAAGAATTGCCAAAGACTTCTTCTGGGAAGTCAAAGTTTGAGCGAAACGGAGGGGATGGAGAAGATCCAAATCAACCCCTTACTATCCAATTTGGTACGTTACCTCCTGTCGTGGCTAATAACTATTTATAACCAATGAGTTTAAGAATAAAGAGAAAGGGGAAAGACAAAAGGAGGATAACGAAGAGTAAGCATGCATGCTGGAATATGAAGAAGGCCAAACTTCTTGAGAGGCCTACAATGGTGAAGAAGATGATGGTATGACAGACATCGAAGAGGAAATCGATCTGGAAGCGGAAAGAAGAAGAAGAGGAGTATCGTATAATACTCTGTTGAAGCAATTATATCGAGAGGGAGTTCGTGAAGTAGACTTATTGGGAGAACCATCTGGGCGTTTTTTCGATTTTTACGTGCTGTATGGGACGCTCAAAAGGAAGAAGAGTGCCTCGCTCTGAAAAGTATGGATCACCTCCAAGAATAATGCCTCATCCTACAGGTTGGGTAACTGAAGAAGAAGCATTAGAAAACAGTGAAAAGGAAATTCAGGAGACAGAAGCTCAGTACGATATGTTGCACGTTGACTTATCACAAAAGGGTAACTCGACAGAGGACAAGCAGGAAGTGGAAATAGATGCTGTCGAAAAAGTTATTTTTAAGCAACCAGCCATGAAATTGACCAAACACTTGAGGTCGTTGTATGTTAAAAATCTAGTTAACGGCATACCTGTGGTAAAAGTGCTTGTCGATAATGGAGCAGCTATAAACACCATCCCATCTAGGATGATGAGGAAATTCGCAAAGACAGAAGGTAATATGATCCCAATGGAAGTCATCCTTACAAGTTTCAATGGAGGAGCAACTTTTGCTAAAGGGATTATGCCATTGGACATAACTATAGGAACAACCACTAGGACCACAGTCTTCTTTGTAAAAGATGATCCCACTAGTTCCAATGTGTTATTAGGAAGAGATTGGATATACGGAAGTCGCTGTATACCTTTATTGCTCCATCAGTGCCTAGTTTTTTGGAATGATAAGGGCGAAGCAGAGGTGGTACAGGCCGATCATAGGCCTTTTGTCGCAGAAGCAAACTCAGTGGAAATGTTCATGTACGAAGGAAATTATGGACCTGCCAGAGTAGTCCAAGATGGAGAAGAAACTCAGATTGTCGCGCAGAGTGAAGAGTCGTTTTCGTTGAATACACTCACAGAAATGTTCAGTCAGATGATGCCAAACATAGTGGCCCTGGAGGAGCCAGTAATTGGCAAAAAAATGACCAAAGAGTTTTAAATGAGTTGTAAACAACAAAGACAAATGACCGATATTCAGGCCTTCAAAGCCAAATTAATGGCTTTCAATAAAGAATGCAAGAACAAGACGAAAGGAGCAGCAGCCTTGAAAGCATTGAGAGATAAATT